ATCTGCCATGGGTTTGAACCTGGTCAGGTCATTCGCCTTTCTTGTTTCTGAGATTAATAAAGGAGTACCGCTCTGAGAAAAGGAAACGGGAGACTACACACTGGGCTTGCAATGTTGCTGCTGTCAAGTTTGCCTAGAAAATATGGAAATGGAGATCAGCGCCCCAACAATTGATTTCATGAAACAAAGTGCCACACAAATGGTTCTGTCATGAAATTTTAAGAAAGACCTGACATTCCAATGCTTAAAATCTTTCCTTCCTTTCTTTTCTACCTGAACGGCGAATGTACAGTAGAAAATGACCATTTCCTAGATGGTTAGAAACTCCATTCATTGCTGGAGAAAGATCCCAGGAAATGGAGAGAAAATTTCTTGCACTTCCACAATTTGGTGCTCAGTACCCGATAAATCTTCTGTATTAATAACATTGGAATACATGCCCTATCGTTATCGCTTTAATCAGCTGATTGTTTCTGATAATCACTGACCATTAGCCAGCAGAATTGATATACTGTAAATTTCTGAAACCTTTGGTATCTTTCGTAAGCTTTCATGATGAGGCCATTTCTGGTGCCCTTCTCTTCATGAAGCTAATGCTGGAACGACGATCTTTATTTCCATGCTATCGGTCAGCAGTGCCCTATTTTAAGGGCAGAGTCAACTGTAGCTACGTGACAAGCATAGTTTCCTGTTTCCTCCCACAGAGCGGTACTCATTTATCAACCTCGGAAGGCATTAAAACGGGTTATGCGACCGGAGATTGAACCCGGGACCTTTCGGCTCTGAATCAGACGCTCTACCGGCTGAATAGTTCCCGCTTTCATCAGATGTCTTTAAAGCCAACTAAACTTTTTTGCTGCATAATGCTGTAATATGGAATAAGTCATGAATCGAGCCAAAATTGCATAGTTTCTTTGTTTCAAGAAGCCTGGGACGGTGATTTGACCAGACTAAGGCGCCATAGCGTATGAGCCCCTCCGGAGCCTTCATCATGGCTGCTCCGCCCACTGTACCCCCTGAACGATTAAATAACTACCTGTGAACTGTTTATTATATATTGCTGTTGACTCGATTTTGATTGTTACGATCTTGAATGCTGATGTATTGTTGCTTATCAAAAGCTATCTTGAACAATATTATGATGAGGGCTTGTTAATATCTTGAACGTTATTGATACGATCATTCAGCCAAACAACATGTGAATATTTTTGCATTAATTAGATAAAGCCATCCGTAGATGAAAATGACCTTGTTTCATTATGTTAATTAATGGCTCGTTCGCGGAGTCACCAGTGCTGACTTCTTTGACCGCACTGCAAATTAGCGTTGAAGTCACTACAAGGTCGGTTGTTTACAGTTCTGGTCCACGAACAGCAATTATAGCCAGTAGAATGCATCACTATTTAGTGCCACCACCACCATATCTACCTTTTCCGCTATAAAGACGTTGAAAAATTATTCGAGGATTTCCACAACTCTGGTTCTCCTGAGTTTTTGTTCAGTCAGTCTGGGATTGACTACAGCAAAATGTATTCAATAAGCTGCATCACGGAATCGATCTGTTTCTAAAATTACTATGTATAAAATGAGTTGTGTGTATGCCAGTTATTTTTAGGGAGGAGGGGTCTCGTTCGGCTTGTGAGCCATAGATTGGTGATTCAAATCCAAACGAGCCGTGAATTGTTATGAAAAGCTGCTAAAAACCCTGAGCAGGATTTGATCTCCTGAGAGGCACTGCTGTTTGGTATAACCAGTCAAGAACTGAGTAGTTAACCTAGCGTATGCGAGCAATTAGAAAAGTGTAGTGCCATGATACCTGGTTGTTTCATTATATACGAGACCAGTGACTATGCCCTCTGACGCGTTCTCCGTACGATCGCAACAATCCTTGAAGCGTCTGATGGTATGGTTAATTAACACAATGTGTACTTCGCTCATTCATTTTATTTTATTCCTTTCTTTTCTCAGTCGTTCATTCATTTTCAAGTTCGCTGCAAGCACAGAGCAAATCCAGCCAGTAAATTAGTCAGCATACTTCTGTGCAGTACACGCTCCAGTGCCACTGAGCTATGGCGTGCTTACATCTTACCTGCAGGAAAACATCATAACAACGTCGCATATCCTGGTTTGACTGAATCAGTCAGTTAATTTCTAATGCTTTCTGTCGTTTAAGTTGTGATTTGATTGAATTATACTCATTAATTTTTTCATATATAGATTTTAATCTAATTGGTTTTGTTGATCAAAACCAGCGTATTGAAACATAAGTTTATGAATTATTTGTAATTTTTCAAGAAAAATCATTGAAATCATTTTGTTTTAGCCGACTGGCAGGTTTACGTCGTTCTGACAAATCACCAAGTGATCGGTTGTGATCTAGTGGTCAGTGCTACCGGGGTGCATCCTAATGTAGACCTTTGGCTCACTCCTGAAAATCAGGTATGAATTACATTTTCAACCATGCAGTAGTTTACTGTATAGCGAAGTGAATTTATTCTAATATTTAAGCACAGCGAAGTTGTTCTTCAGTAATCCATATAACTGATTATTATAGACTGTATATCAAGGCCTCACCTGTCAACTTAGCATTAGTATTCATACGCCTTTCTGTTAGATATAGTTCATGATATATTTCGATTGGTTTTACAGTAATTTTGCCTTGCAGTTTAAACTTGGAAGCGACGGTGGTCTTCTTGTCAGTGACCAGATGGAGACTAGCATCGAAGATGTGTACGCCGCAGGAGATGCGTGTACAGCCGGGTGGACTTGGTCTCCCCATTGGCTTCAGGTTTGGTTTAAAATGTGTGGTGGAAAATTCACCGTTTGTTCGACAGATGCGCTTATGGACGCAAGCACGACAGATGGGCGCCTATGCCGGTATTTGCATGGCTAGTAACCTACGGCATGAGCGGGCCGTGTTGGACATATGCTTTGAAATCTTTACGCACGTGACTACATTTTTTGCCTTCAAGGTGACAATGTGGCAAGAGTTCTGTTCTGCTTCTTCTTATCAGTACAAAACCTTTGTAGGTGGTGCTTTTGGGCAAGTTCAATGGTCAAGGTCTCAGGCCAGACCATGAAACATTCGTCCGCATTACTCCAAGTGAGTCTTGCTCAACTTTCAC